CGACGAGCTGAAGTCTTATCTTAGCTCACCACCTCTACTGACTAAAGCCAAAGATGGAGAAATCCTCTATTTATATCTGGGAATTTCAGATGAAGCCATTAGTTCAGTTCTGGTAAGAGAAAAAGCCAAGCAGTAGAAACCAATATATTATAGCATGGAGCCGAACTAAGGTATCTTATAGCTGAGAAAGCAGCCTTAGCAGTTGTCACTTCAGCCAGAAAGTTGAGGCCATATTTCCAGTCGCACCCGATCATTATTCTTACAGACCAAACCCTTCGGCAGATTCTGCAAAAGCCTGAGTGTTCTGGAAGATTAATTAAGTGGGCAGTAGAACTGGGGGAATTTGAGATAACATTTCAGCAGAGATCTGCAATCCGAGCTCAGGCACTGGCAGATTTTATTGTAGAATGCACTCCAGGTAATTCCATTCCTACTCCGGAGCCCAATGACTGGACCTTATATGTTGATGGGGCATCTAGTAGCAAAGGTTTAGGAGCTGGCGCTCTCTTGATTGGCCCAGATGGATATCGCAGTGAACATGCCCTGAAGTTCAACTTCGATGCAACAAATAACATGGCTGAGTTTGAAGCCCTGCTACTTGGTTTGCAGCTAGCATTGGAATTAAAACTTAGTGCGATCCAAGTATACAGTGACTCCCAGCTGGTGGTGAACCAAATTAACTCAATCTGCGAAGTTGTTGATCCTGTGATGATGAAATATGTAGCTCTGGTGGCCAAGCTGAAGTGCAAATTTCAGAAATTCTGTCTGAGCAAAATCCCCCGGACTGAGAATGAACAGGCAGATTCACTCTCTAAATTCGCCTCTGATAGTTCTTCACAGTCCAGATCAGTTTTCGTGGAGGTCTTAGATGAACCAAGCTTCATGAAGCCACGGGTGATGGAAATCAGCACAGACCTAGGTACGTCAGGCTGGACTGACTCAATTGTCTCCTTCCTTCGAGACGGGGTAATACCTGAGGATAAGCAGGAGGCAATGAGGTTGAGGAAGAAAGCATCTCGGTATACACTTGTTGATGGGATCCTCTATAAGAGATCTTTCTCACTTCCTCTCCTACGGTGCTTGAATCCCTATGAAGCAGAATATGCACTTAGGGAGGTGCATGAAGGTGTCTGCGGAAGTCACGTGGGGGCTCGAACTTTGGCTCATAAAGTCCTTAGACAGGGTTATTATTGGCCCAACATGTACAAGGATGCCACTCACTTTGTTCAGAGATGTATGAAATGCCAGTTCTTTGCACACCTGACTCACTAGCCTGCAGAAGAGCTCACTACTCTGGTAGCACCATGGCCATTTGCTCAGTGGGGCTTAGATCTTTTAGGCCCATTCGTGAAGGGGGTTGGTGGTGTAACCCACCTGATTGTTGGTGTAGATTATTTCACAAAGTGGGTTGAAGCTCGGCCGTTATCCAGTCTTACTTCCAAGAAGGTTGAAGACTTTGTTTTCAGCTCAATCATCTGTAGATATGGGATCTCGAATCAGATTGTGGCTGATAATGGAACTCAATTTAACTGCACTTCTTTTCGAGATTTCTATTCTAGCTACGGGATTAAACTGCAGTTCACCTCGGTTTACCATCCGGAGTCCAACGGCATGGTCAAATCTGTTAACAAGTGCATCTTAGAAGGAATAAAGCCAAGGTTGGAACAACATAAGGCTAAATGGGCAGACGAGCTCAACAACGTCCTCTAGGCATACAGAACTACGAGTCGAACTGCCACAGGTATTACTCTACACCTGGCCTATTTGATTAATATTATTTTACCTCTTCTGCTACGGTTTTACCTTAGAGCAAATATGCATAACGTGTAAAGCGCATTCTAAAGTTATAATCCACTGAAATAGGTGAACCACCCTATCATCTGGCCTTTGGTACCGAAGCAGTCATTCCTATCGAGATAGGAGTTCCAAGCTTCAGAGTCACCCATTTCGATGAAGGACGAAATTGACAACTACTTCGGGAGAACCTTGATTTGCTTGATGACGTTAGAGAAGAAGCACGACTTCGAACTCTAGTCTACAAGCAGAAAATAGCAAACTTCTACAACAAATGAGTTTGACCCCGAACATTCAAAGTAGGAGACCTTGTCCTCAGGAAAGCTGGTCTGACGGGGTTCGAAACTTGATTCGGCAAGTTGGCACTGAACTGGGAAGGCCCCTACACTGTTGCCGAAGTGCCGCACCCAGGTGCATATATCCTACGGGACACTGAAGGCAACCGGGTTCCCAGGGTCTGGAATGTCAATAATTTGAAGAAATTCTACCCTTAGCACACTTCTTTTTTAACCACCATTATTCTGATTGCTGTATATCGAAACTCAATTCATATATCTCATTAATGAATTTCACTTCACATTCGAAGTCATTCAGTTCTTTCTACCCTTCTGTACTTTGGAAGTTAATTCCTTATGGCTTGTTTAGTCCCTTCATTTTTTGGGGATACGATTACGCTTCACTTATAGTGGTTTTACTTCATCTCTCATTTATTTGGGGTCTGCCTCGTGTATGTCCAAAGTCAATTCCTTTGCTATTCGCTTTACTGCATCCGAGGTCAGTTCCTTGTGTTAATTAAGGTGTCTTTATTTCATCTAAAGTAATTCACTTGAAACAAAAATACCAAACACACATCAAAATAACTTAAAAAAAATTTATGAATTCATAACCAATCTATTACAAAAATATTTTTACAAGAAAACTCCTAAGCTAATCTGCTGAGGGAGGAGGCTGCTCCTCAGTAGGAAGAGGTGGTGGAGATGGCTCATTTCCAGCAGGCAGGGGTGGCACTTCTGCTTCAGGAGGGGCCGATAGCTGCACTTCGTCAGAAGAGACTGGATGCACCTCAAGAGGCTGCACTTCGGCCACAGCTGCCTGATCCTCAACCCCAGCGCCTTGTGCTTCTTCTTCTTCTTCTTTTTTTTCCTCCCCCACTGCCACCAACTCAGCCTCAAAGGATGGAGGAAAAATAGTGAGCCCCTCTGCATCACGCTCCCACCTCAGTGTGATCTGAGGTCGAAAGTCAGCATAGAGGCTCTCCTCATCTTCCTCCACCCCTTCTTCTTGTTCCCTAAAGGTGACTGTTGTCACGTCCACCTCTAGGTACTAGGCCTTCACCTTCTTTCTACAGTCGGTGAAGGCCACGATTGCGGTTGGCAGTCGGTAGAGTTTGAGGATGTTCTCGAAGATGCTGGAGTTGAGGAAGTTGCCAATGTGCTCCTCCATCCCGTTGTGAACCAGCAGGTTCACGTTCTTCTTCAGCTTCACTGCTCCTTTCCTCATGTTGTCAATATATTTGTCCTGAGCCTCAAGCTTCTCCTCACAGATCTTCCTCTTACGTTCTTCGAGGACAAGCTTCGTGCTCAGGACATCATTCTCGTTCCGGAGCTCGGTCACTGAAGGGAGAACTTCATCCAGCCTTCTCTGCATCTCCCTCTTCTCCTTCTCCCATTCCCCCTTCTCCTTATGCAGCTCATCTTTCTCCTTCTGCAGCTGCTCGCACCGCCTCTGCAAGCTGGCACGATCTCTCACACTCTCTGCATACTCTTGTGCTAGAGCGTTTGTCCAGCTCACTCTACAATGCAATCAGAAGTCAGACATCAGATACAGAGGTCAAAGAACTTAAACATACAATCGGAGTGAATTCCAACAATTTTGCATACCTCTAGGGCGTGCCTCACGACGGTATACCCCACATGGCTAACCACCTCGTCCTTCGCCTGCATCCTATCCACCTCAGGTAGGGTAGAGTTGAGGAAGTGCTTTGCCCCAGTCGTGTTTGTTGCCTCAAACAAACTCTTTTGGTACGTGTGAGGAGGGATGCGCTCCTTGCCCCCACCAAGGCGTTGCACCTCGACCTCCTCCCTCTCCTTATCTTCAGGATTGATTTTTGGAGGAGAAGGCCGGGGCACGAACTCCACCACCTCATTCCCCCTAGCCTCTGGTTCTGCCACCCTCCTCTTCTTCCTCTGGAGAGGGGCCACCTCCTCACTTACATCCTCGCTACCTCCCATCATAGGCTCCGGCCTTGGTTGCACCTCCACAGCCTGGGCAGAAGTGCTGGACAGTCGCCCCCTCTCTGCCACCCCCTTCTCCGCCGCAGTTGAAGTCTTTTACTTCTTCCTTGGCTTCTTGGGGATGTGCAGGCCCCCAGCTGCATTAACGAACTCGTCCATCTCAGCTGCAAAACAAACGCCTAAATTAGAACACACCAGTTAAAATCTCATTAAAGTTGCACACTATAAACATACACAAACCTTCGCTCAAGGAGCTTGGCCCATAGAGCTCCGCAACCTCTATTGCCTTCGGACTGGTGAGGAACAAGATATCCACTACGTCTCCATCTTCCCTCACCAACTTCTCCACCTCATCCTCATTCAACCTATAGTTGTTCTGCTTGGTTTTCTTCGCTTTCCAAGCAGACAACTGTTCCACTTCGGCATCCCTCCTACTCCACTCGGTATCATCCACAAAGAAGAATTTTTCTTTCCACCCTTTGATGGATGACGGTCCAGTAGAGAATAAACTCCTATTCCCTTTATTGGACAACTGAGGGCCGAAGTAGTACCACCCCTTCTCCCCTTTACCCCCAGCCTTAATTATAACAAAATGTTTAAACATGTTTACTGTAGGGACTCCCACCCCCCGAACTCTGCAGTATACAAGAAAGCCTATTATTACCCTTATGGCATTTAGGGTTAATTGGGTTATTCCTATGCTGTAATCTAACAATAGCCCAACCAGTAATTCTGGAATGAGAAACCTAAGACCTGCTATCATATAATGGACATATAGGGGCATCCAATGGTCTCGGGGTGCTGAGCATGCCCTCTCATTCACCCCGGCAGGCCTAATTAGGACATGGTGAGGGAAGTTGCAATTGTCCACTAGGCCCCTAAGACTTTCTCTACTACCTAACTCGCTCACATACCCCCTCACCTCAGATACCATATCTAAATCTGGGTCATAACACCCATTTACCCTATTCCCCGCCTCCAAAATGTTGGAGGGAATCTCATCTTCTTCCTCTTCTACCCCTTCTACCTCTTCTACCCCTTCTACCTCTTCTACCACCCTCTGATCCCTCCTTTCCTCCACTGTCCTCTTCGAACTAGTTGGAGACGGACTGGTCTCCGAATCCATGCCACCATATTCCAAGGGCATTACCTCACTTCCCACTACACTCATAGCCTCTTCTGAAGACATCTCAATTTCTGCATACAAGGGGAGGCGGAACAAAGTCAGGACCCTTAACAATCCAAGCACACTCAATACATTCTCACCCCCAACCCTAATTTCCCTCAAAAAACCCAAAATCAACCACAGAAAGGGAGAAAGGGGAACAGCACTTCGACAAAACCGAAATAAAAAATTCATAAACATTACCTGGTTTTGGTCTTGAAAACTGTTGTTGAAGTCTTGATCAAAGCACAAACCGCGCGAAACCGCAGAAATTTAGTGGAAATTTTGCAAGAATTTGGAAGCAAAATAGTGAAGGTAAAAAACCCCTTTCTACAGGCGTCTAGCCTTTTATACCCAAGGCAAAATACGGCTGTGATTAACCCATCTAATGGCTACAGTGACACCGGTTCGAATTCGAAGGTTAACCTCAAACGATGTCATTTTGAACTCAACGGTCGTTTCTTAAATCTGCACGTTGGGCTGTTACAATTTCTTTTTTACAACGGCATTTATTACGCACGTCATTCAGAGGACAGCTGTCACGTCCCGGGCCGCCTCTTTGTTAGACTTCTCAGACGGGCCCATTTAAGCCCATTTTAACACTCTTGCTCATTTTTCTCCATTTTAAATTTTGCACAAGTATCCCACTTCGGCTCCGGCCACAGTAACCCTGTGTCACACGTTTTACTTGGGCTCCAGCCACAGTGGCCCCGTGTCACACATTTTACTTTGGCTCCGGCCATAGTGACCCCGTGTCACACGTTTTACTTCGGCTCCGGCCACAGTGGCCCCGTGTCACACATTTTACTTCGGCTCCGGCCACAGTGACCCCGTGTCACACATTTTACTTCGGCTCTGGCCACAGTGACCCCGTGTCACACGTTTTACTTCGGCTCCGGCCACAGTGACCCAGTGTCACACGTTTTACTTCAGCTCTGGCCACAATGACTCAGTGTCACGTGCTTTACTTCGGCCCCAGCCACACTACTCTATTTATGCACTAACCCTATCACTTCCAACAACATCATTAAAAAATGAA